GCCAATTTCCATGGTGTCAAAATCCCCCATAGTTGAATTCAAACTACCAACACGAGATCACTGAACATGTAGTTAGGAGGAGATGCACATAACATGAGGGATCATCACTCCCTCCTTACCCTCTTTCCATCTCCAACAACAGCTCTTGTTCCCCACAGGCAGCCTCCAGCTCATTCCTCCAAGGGTCCCTCCCTGGCCACCTACTCCCTTGGACTGCAAGGGCTGATGTGGTCTTTAGCACCACCACCACTGGAGAATCTCATTGCTCTAATTCTGAACCACATACCACCTACCAAGGAGTCAGTGCCACTGTCCCCACAGCCACTCAGAGAGAGAGGCCTAGTCCCCTAGACTGGCAGTGGGAGTGATATAAAAGGAGAGAAGCAGCAATTGAGAAGCAAGCAACTGAAAGAAAAAAATAATCCCATCAAAAAGTGGACACAGGACGGAATAGACAATTCTCAAAAGAAGATACACAAACGACCAACAAACATGAAAAAATGCTCAACATCACTAATTATCAGGGAAGTACAAAACCATAATGAGGTATCATCTCACTCCTGTGAGAATGGCCATAATCAAAAATCAAAAACAGATGTTGACGTGGATACATTACACTGCTGCTGGCAATGTAGACTAGTACAACCACTATGGAAAACAGTATGGAGATTTCTCTTTTTTTTTTTTTTTTTTTTTTTGGGAGATTTCTTAAAGTACTAAAAGTAGAACTACCGTTTGATCCAGTAATCCCACTACCTGGTATCTACTCAGAGGAAACGAAGCCATTATACGAAAAAGACACTTACACACCTGTGTTTATAGCAGCACAATTTGCAATTGCAGAAATACAGAACCAACATAAATGCCCATCAACCAACGAATGGATAAAGAAAATGTGGTATATATACAGCATGGAATACTAGTCAGCCATAAACAGGAACAAAATAACGGCATTCACAGCAGCCTGGATAGAGGTGAAGATGAGTATTCTAAGTGAAGTAACTCAGGAATGAAAAACCATATATTATATGTTGTCACTTACAAGCAGGAGGTCAGCCATGATAATGCAAAGGCATAAGAATGATATAATGGACTTTGGGGACTCAGGGAGAAGGGTGGGGGGCAGTAAGTGATAAAAGACCACACATTGGGTACAGTGTACACTGCTCAGGTGACAGCTGCACCAAAATCTCAGAAATCACCAGTAAAGAACTTTTCCATGCAATCAAACATCACTTGCTCCCCTAAAATTAAAATTAAAAAATAAGAAATGAACAGCTGATACCAACATAGGATGGCTTTGAAACCCTGAAAATTGCAGAATTGCCAAAGCTAGCAATATCTAACTTGCTGAGGGTACAAAATGCTAGTATTTCCAAAATGAGCAGAGAAGCATCTGAAAAGTATCTCTTTTCCACACTGAGACATTTATGGAAAAAACGAGATATGACACACAAATGAGGGGGACCCCATTTAGAATCTGCTCTGCTTCCTCTTAGGTATGATGTTGGCCAAGTTGCTTAACCTCAGCTTCCTCATCTGTAAAGTGGGAACAACACATAGAACTGCTGTAAAGATCAAAGATAATTTTTAACCATAATGGTGGTTAACTTCATCATTACCTCTTTATTATTTTCATAGGCAGATTCTCAAAACACAGGCACCGCAGAGATGCCCAATGTGAGAAGGCTTGGCTGGCTATTTCTTCAATAGTGCCTCCAGGGGAAAGGTAGGAGGTGGGAGGATCCTCAGAACGTTAATCTGATGCCTTCCCTTTACATATCCTAAGCCCAAACTGGCCCCTCAGCTCTCTAGCCCCCTGCCTTGCAGGCAACACCCAGCTTCACACTGGTTCCACCATTCGAGATGCTCACCAGCCCTTTTTCTCTATTCTCCCCTACCTAGAAAACTCCTCTTTATCCTTTGGAGTTCCATTCACATGTCACCTCCTTGTGGTGGTGATGGGGTATCTGGTTAACTTCTAGAATTTTTAAAGTGTCTACTACATGAGAAGGACTGTGCCAGGCCTCAACACTTAAAAAAGCAATCACAAGAGAGCCTGCCAGAAGCAACCTAAGTGTCCATCAACAGATGAATGGATTAAAAAATGGTAAATATACACAATGGAGTACTACTCAGCCATAAAAAAGAATGAGAGCCAGTCATTTCCAGCAACATGAACGGAACTAGAGATCATAATGTTAAATGAAATAACCAGGCATAGAAAGACAAACTTCATATGTTCTCACTTACTTGTGGGAGCTAACAATTAAAATAATTGAACTCATCGAGATAGAGAATAGAAGGGTGGTTACTGCAGGGTGGGAAGGGGAGTGGTGGGGAGGGAGGGAAGTAGGGATGGTTAACGGGTACAAAAAATAGAAAGAATGAATAATACCTAGTATTTGCTAGTGCAACATGGTAACTATAGTCAAAAATAATGTAACCGTACATTTTAAAATAAATAAAACAGTATAATTGAATTGTTTGCAACACAAAGGACAAATGCTTGAGGGGACAGATACCCCATTTACCTTGATGTGATTATTATGCATTGCATGCCTGTATCAAAATGTCATGTACCCACAAAAAATAAAAACTAAAAAAAAAGAGTGCCTGCCATCAGGTGCTCACTGTGTCATAGAGGTAGGGAGCAGGAAAGCATTTGCCATTGAGAGAAAAATGGTCATTTCAAGAAAATGAGATACGCTCTTTGATAAAGGCATGCCTAGAGAAACTCCAACTCCTTTTCCTCCTCAGCATACCGCTCAACTGTATTTCCTGGTCTTCCCTACAGCTAGATGAGTCACAAAACTGAGTCTTGAACTCCTGGCCTCAAGTGATCCACCCGCCTAGACCTCCCAAAGTGCTGGGATTACAGGTGTCAACCACTGCACCTGGCCGATTTCTGTCTTTATTTTTAAATGAAGCTTTATATGTACATAACAGCTGAGGTGGTTTTTCAATCTATGTTTTTTCTACTGTTGTTCACTATGTTTACATTTGTCCAAGTTATTGTTCTTTAGACAAGAATCAGAGTAAAATCTCCCTCCAATCATGGTCTTTTCCATTGTTATGAAAGTTCCTGCAATTACCAAGTAAAATCATCAGGAGAGAGATGCTTTTTCTTATACAGTGAGCCAAGTCCCAGTCTATCCCGATTGTAAATTAGGCGGTTTTGGAAGTAAAATTAATCAGTGTTCAGAAGTACCTACTCTTTTAACACAGATACTAGAAGAAACTGACTCACGAGGTGAAGTATGAATCTATAGCAGGCCAAACTCCACCTTTCCATGGAAATTACCACCAAAATTTAAAATGTGCTCTGTAACTCAATGGCATATGAGTAGAAAATCATTTGGGTCATATTTTACAGTATTTGAGAGCTAGGAAGTACAAAGAAATTTTCTAATACAGTGATCCCCTCCTGCCCCCCTAAGAAAAGTTAATCAGAAGATTCTCCTGGCCAGGCACGGTGGCTCACGCCTGTAATCCCAGCACATTGGGAGGCCGAAGCGGGTGGATCACCTGAGATCAGGAGTTCAAGACCAGCCTAACCAACATGGAGAAAACCCGTCTCCACTAAAAATACAAAAAAAACGAGCCATGTGTGGTGGCGCTTGCCTGTAATCCCAACTACTTGGGAGGCTGAAGCAGGAGAATCCCTTGAACCCGGGAGGTGTAGGTTGCAGTGAGCCAAGATTGCACCATTGCACTCCAGCCTGGACAACAAGAGGGAAACTCTGACCCCCCCCCCAAAAAAAAAGATCCTCCTGAGGTGCTTAAAATATAGATTACTTCCAGTCAGATGAAGTTAAAAAAAAAAAAAAAAAGGTAAAATACAGATTACTTGGCCTCCCCTCCAGCTCTACTGTATCAGACTCAACAGAGGAGGGCTTTGGAATCTGTATTTTTAGCAAGCACCCAAGGTGATGCTGCTGACATTCCTGGCCCATGGAGCACCTGTCAAATAGCAAGGCTCTACCCTACAATATAATTACTTACCTCTAGATTCCATTTTCATCTAGAAAATTTTCAAAGAATCCTGGCTTATCTCTAAATGATAGAATTTTAAGTAAATTAATTGTTTCTCTTCTCCCTTTTCTGTATGTTTTCCTCAATGAACACAGATTACTTTTCTCATCAGAAGGTATCTTAAAAAGCAGCTCTTCTCGAGTGTCTTCGGGTTTCTGGAGGGGCATTTTATTCCTAGGATTGTTTTAAGTGCCTTTTTTTAAAAACATAACTTCCGGCAACATAGCCTCATCTGAGTCCAAATAAGAAAATATGATTTTAATCATGGCCCAGCAATTAACTCCGTAAACTGTTTTGTAAACTCGTTGATTCATATTGTAAACTCTGTGATTCGTTTTCTGTAGTCAAAGCTGAATGCCTTAATGAACCTGTAAAATTCTCCTTCCTGGACATTGTTAAGAATTTTTTTTTTTTTGGTAGTACTAAACTAGCAAAGCAACAAATTCTAAAACGTCCTTTAAAATAAGAAAAAAAAATGACAGTTCCTAAAGTTGTTTTATCAGTGCAATTTTTCTATGGCTCTCAAAGTGGTGTTATGTCTTTTCAATGTAGATACTTTAGTTTATTGCCAGAAAGTGACTTAGTGGTTAAAAAGGAACCAGGAAAAAAAAAGCAGCAAAAGATTGAGAATGAACTGGGGGAAAAAAAGTTGTTCACATAGAAATTTCAGAAAATAACATCATTATATAACTAGTTCCCCAAGCTCATAAACAATTTAGGATCTCAAAGAGAACAACATGGAGAAAGACCACAAATAAAGGGCAAAAATATATGTTATCATCACAGCGTAAATTACACAAGACAATGGTTTTGGCCAATTCATCACAAAGGATATCAGGATTTTCCCTATGACGCTTTTGATGTAGCATTCTTTAAAAACAGTTTCCAAAGGATGTGAGAGCGGAGGCCCTTATAATTTAAAGAAAACATAAAAGTCACAGTAAAATTCACATGAAAGTTCTTACTTCTTCCTCTCGGACCCTAATATCCTAAACAAATCTTTAAAGTACTGAGGGACGCGAACCACCACGTTCTCTGAGGGGCCGATGTCTTTCAGGTGGGGGTAGAGTCTCGTGTCAATGACCTTCTTGATGTAGCCCAGCCAGTCGAACTGAGGCGAGAGAGAACAAAACAGAATGAGAGAACGTCTGTTAGGTAGCAAGTAAGAAAGGCAGATAGAGTAGATTGAGCATCATTCATTTCTTGTGATTTCACACTCAATAAGTCATGATGCAACTATTCAAGTGTACAAAATAAACTCCTGATCATTGCCATCCAGACCTATAGTCTTTTTTTTTTTTTTTTTTTGAGACAGAGTCTCGCTCTGTCACCCAGGCTGGAGTGCAGTGGCGTGATCTCAGCTCACTGCAACCTCCACCTCCCCGGTTCAAGTGATTCTCCTGCCTCAGCCTCCTGAGTAGCTGGAATTACAGACACCCACCACTACACCCAGCTAATTTTTTTTGTATTTTTAGTAGAGACGGAATTTCACAATGTTGGCCAGGCTGGTCTTGAACTCCTGACTTCAAGTGATCCACCCACCTTGGCCTCCCAAAGTGTTGAGATTACAGGTGTGAGCCACTGTGCCCGGCCAGACCCATTGTCTTAATCACAAATGGAAACATGTGTTGTGTACCATCTGCATCTGGACAGCACTCACCCACACACTAAGACAGTAATGTACTCTCACTCCCTCAGCCCCTTCCAGCACTCTACCTCCTTCCTGAACTCTCCCCTCTGTCTTTCTCTCTCCGTTCTGCTCTCTCTTCCCTTCCTATACTGTTCCTCTGTTCTATACTCTTCATCTTTCTTCCTCCCATACTCTCCCCTTTCCTCCCTGCCATATTGTTCCCTCTTTCTCTCCTGCATTTCCCTCCCTCCTTCTGAATTCTTCCTCTATACTGTACATTTTCTCTCGCCCTCCCTCCCTCTCTCTGTCCTGTACTCTCCCTCATTTTACATTCTACATACATACAGAAACAGATACCCCAGTATATAACTAGTCTCTCTGACACAGACTTAAAAAAAAAAAAAAAAAAAGGTGTTTTTTAGATTGGCTACCCTAAAAGTCATTTCCCAACCTTTTCTCCCTTGCCTGTGTCCACTGTTAAAATGGAAAGCCAGTTACTCACTTGCCCAACCTCCCCTGTGTTAGGGGTGGCCATGTGACCCAATCCTACTCAATAAGAAATAAAGGGAAGACATCTGGAGATGTTCTGGAAACACTTCTTTGTTTTTCCTAGTAAAATACTTAGACACGTCACTGGCACTTTCCCCTTCCTCCTGCTCTGACAGCAGATGTGATAGATGGAGCTGTGATGGATACCTTGCAACCATGAGTCATCAGACATGAAGTCAAAAAGCCAACACACTAAACAGTGTAAGATGGAAAGATAGAAAGAACTGTGGCCTTTGACAACACTATTAAACAGCTGAGCCAGTGCCAACAACTGCCTATATCTGGACATTTGTCATATGAGAAATAGACTTTCAGTTTCTAAGCCACTGTTGGAAAAATGTTCTGTTCCCTATAACAGAAGGTATCCCAATACACAGACAAGGGATATTTTATGTGATTGTTGACAAAGATGATGATAACCACAAAGACTGAGAGTAGGTTTTACGAGACAGTAATTTACACACAGATGAAATCCAATCCCTTCTAAAATGACCAGTTGAGAGCAAGTGTTCTGGATAGCTTTCACCAACCTGGGGAATCATAGCACTCAGTTCAGAAATGTTCATTTTGTTGTACATGGCCTCACTAGTTCGGTTTTCATGTGGAATCATTATCTGTTGGAAAGAGATTTGGGTTATTTTTTTTTTCAAGTGAACCATTTCTTACAGTATGACTACTTCCTACATGTGCCAAAACATCTGCATAGTATTATAAAGCTTTTCAAGACTTCGGTGTGGTACCCAACTTGGGGGGAGAGAAAAAAAGACATCCCTTTAGGCAGGACTAAGAAAAGTAACTTTCATATCCTCCTCTGTGTGAAATATTGTCCCCAGTACAAAAAGAACTACCCAAAATCTCCCTACCAAGCTATAATGTGGATGGGCAAAATCTATTTCTGGCTCAATTTTGACCATCAAACTTAAGTTGGACAATTGAGGTAAACATCCCACTGTCAGCTGTGGCCTCCAGATAATGATCTCAATATTTCATGAACCACAGACCATCCCTCCATCTCTAGGGGCAAATTTTCACTGATGAACACAAGACTATCTGGATGCCACAGCTCCCCGTGATCATTTTGTCAACAGCTCATTCCCTCATTTCTTTCCCCCTGTTGTTTCTTTGGCCTTGCGATTCCTCTAGCCCCATTGCTGGGGGTATGGATTCAGTTACCGCCTAGACAAACATTTCAAAATCTGCCTCTCTCTAGCCCTGACTTTATACGCTTTCCATTCCCAATACTCACGCTCTTGGCCATTTGACCAACACCAAATCTGAGCTTCTAGCCTCCACTATGTTTACCTAAGAACAGCAGCAATGATTATCTTCCTGAAGGATCATCTTAATCACTTCCACTGACCAGCAGTAGCTCTCATATCTTCCCCTCAATCACGTCATGACTTTGCCTTCGGGCCTTCCATCATCTAATTCCCTTGCATTAAACTTGCCACCTTCCCACTGCACACAGGAGTCTCCTACTCTTGCATCTCCTACCCACCATCACCATCTCCATGGTTTGAACTATGACTCAAGACTGCCCAAGATTCACTGCCTCTAGCAAGCCTTTCCAATTAAACTCCACTTGATTCCAATCACAAGGGCTACTCCATCAATAAGACCTCTCCTTGTGCTCACATCTCTCTTGCTGGGATTGGTTAAGTATACGCTTCTCTGGGTATATTTGCAAGGACTTATTTGTGCTGGACTGGGCTGTCTTGTCTTCCCAGCCTCAGAAGTCTCCCTTGCACTATGTATCCCACTATTTTTTAATGTACCTAGTTACATGTAGTTTAAGATACGGAGGTGAGCATTACTAGCAGTGATTTTTCAAGGTAAACATTACAGAGGGCTGACTGGCAGATGCCTGCTCCCTCTTTGCTAAATGTGTCAGTGCCCTTAGCTTCCCTTTGCTCACCTTCCACAGGAGAGACCACACGTAACTTGTAAACAGCCTCCTGGCTCTGTGTGAATCACTGCCTCAGAGAATATCCACACTCCTCTTCACCAACCCCTCTTCTGACCTTGCAGCCTCACAGCCCAAAGCTGGAGCCCTTTGGCCTCAGAGCTGTTTTCAGCTCTGTGCCAGCCACTCCCCATCACACAATAGATTTGTCACTTCATTTTGCCTCTTGACAATTCCCAGTCTTGCCTCAACCAAGCTGTTTTTAGTTCCCTTTTTGGTCCAAATCTCTGGCTTAGGGCAAGGCCTTTCCTGCTGTTTCAGACTTTTGGTCCAAATGAGAATCCTGGGCCTCCTATTTGCCTGGAAAGAGAATTCAGACAGATTCTAGACATGGCTCAGAGGCACAGTCCTGGACTTCAAAACATCTGCAGCAGTCTTCACAGTCTTCAAAGGTGACATGCAGGAATGAACTTTTTGCACTGCAAGGAGTTTGGAGAGAGGTATACACGAACATCATCACAGCAAAGAGAGGGACCAATTCCTCCTGCCCCTTATCCTTCATCCCTACCGCATACCTCATCAGTGCACCACCACCTAACCAAACACAAAACCGATCAATACTTGGACTTTTACTCAGTTTCAGATTTTTACCAACTTCTCTTGTAAAAGATTCCCAACATATATGCAAAAGTTTCTTGGTACAAAGTATCATTTTTTTTTCACTACAGGGTTTCCCCAGAAGCAGATTTTACCACATTTGTTCCCTCTTGGCCTAGGAACATATAGAGAGATTTCTACATTTTGTTTCTTCTAGAAAAAAAGTTACTACATAAACAAAGCTAACCATTTAGGAGTTCCCATTATTTGCCCACATGTTTGTTTTTACATCTTTTTGTCTCTACAATGAGCCAAAAAGAAGTTAAGGTGATTTACACAGACATGTAGTTGTGTGTCATGTATATGACACAATTATATGCATTAAAGTAGGGCAAGAAAAGAATGAAAAACAGGGGCAGGTACAAAGTAATGCCAGAAAGGTCATTTATAAATGCTTACCAGCATGCCCTACCTACTTCTATATCAACTTTTATATCCAGTATTGGCAAACAGGCTTCCCTGAGCCCAGAACTTAAGCCAGAGTGACTCTGAATGGGGATAGCATAAAACATGGGCTGGATTTAGCAAACTTCCATTCAAGCCACATTACTAAGGATTTATTAAACATGTATCTTCTATTTAAGCCAAACATGAGTTTCTTCAAGAAAAATGGTCAGAGGGTCTCTCTGCTGCTATTCTTTGGCCTCAGTTGAGCAACATATGGACACTGAATGGGCTTAAACCAGGGAGGTGAAAGGAATGAAGAGCTCTTCTGTCACAGTCCTTCTTGTTACTTCCTAGAGGGGATGCTATTAGTCCTACCTTGAACTCAAAGGGCAATGACACAAAATGCTATTATTTGGTTGCAATTTATATTTTCATTCAGGACATACTGCCTTTAAAATAAGGGGGGGAAATGAAATAAAGAAAGATTTTCAGTGAAGACTTACCTCAGCTATCTTAATTTCCAATCTAAGCACTGACTTCATGTCATGCTCTGCTCTGGAACTGTTAGCTCCTAAAAGCACAGCAGTATCCACCATGAACTTGTAAAGGGCATCCCGATACTGTAGGAAATAAAGAAGAAAGTGACCATGACCATAGCCTATTAGGAAATATGTTTCAGAGACATGGAAAAGCAGAAACAGCAGGTGGAAATAAACATCTTTTATTTCCACTCTGTACTCAAAGGATGGTGCAGGCATTATGCAATACCAGCCACCCACATATCACTCTGGGAGAAAAAAAGAGTGATGGCTACTTGCATACTGTTTCCATGACAGACAGAGATGTCCAGCCATCAAGCATCAAGAGAACTAGGGGCCGGGCGCGGTGGCTCAAGCCTGTAATCCCAGCACTTTGGGAGGCCGAGGCGGGTGGATCACGAGGTCGAGAGATCGAGACCATCCTGGTCAACACGGTGAAACCCCGTCTCTACTAAAAATACAAAAAATTAGCTGGGCATGGTGGTGCGTGCCTGTAATCCCAGCTACTCAGGAGGCTGAGGCAGGAGAATTGCCTGAACCCAGGAGGCGGAGGTTGTGGTGAGCCGAGATCGCGCCATTGCACTCCAGCCTGGGTAAAAAGAGCGAAACTCAGTCTCAAAAAAAAAAAAAAAAAAAAAAAGAGAACTAGTTTGCTGGCAACTGATGATATTATGGATACATGAAATAACTCCAAATGAGACAAGAATAGAAAGTTAAAGGTCAGATGTCCTTTTCCCAGACAAATGAGGCTTTAATAAAATAATGGGAAAGAACTGTTTCTAAAAGCAGGAGGCCTGATCCATACAGAACGGTGGGAGGTGTGATTTATTCTCCTGCAACTCAATTTACCCACCTTCACACTAAGAAATAAAAGACCAGTGACAGCAGCCCTGTGTCTTTTCAGTTTTTTAGTTTTCACAAAGTTCTGTTCCCTAGCTCAGGAAAAAAATAAATAAATAAAAGGAGAAAAGAGAGGAATGATAATGAGAAACCTAACAAATAGCAAATATAGAATTTCCTTCCTACATATTCATAAACCCATTTTGGAGCTACTGATATGTCACTGCATGGGGTGGGGGTGACCTTACTACATGGGAATTAAAGAATTGCATTAGGCCCACCTCTCATTTCAGATGTATTTGTGAGATCTCAACACACCAGGTATTAAATGACCTCCTTCTCATGCTTTGGGAATAAGACTTACTAATGTGTATCTTGACTCTGTAAGCTATTCTTACTATGTGTGTGACCTCAGGACCTGTATGGCGCTTAGCATACAGCAGGCCTTTAATAAATCTTTGATCAATCAGTAAGCAAGCTTTAAAAATAGTCTTAAATAGAAATAATATTTTGCTATTCCCAGTTCAATTCAAAACATATTTATTGACCAGGCATGGGGGCTCACGCTTGTAACTCCAACACTTTGGGAGGCAGAGGTGGGCGGATCACTTGAGGCCAGGAGTTTGAGACCAGCCTGGCCAACAAGGTGAAAACCTGTCTCTACTAAAAATACAAAAATAAGCCCAGCGTGGTGGCACACGCCTGTAATTGCAGCTACTTGGGAGGCTGAGGTGGGAGAATCGCTTGAACCCAGGAGGCAGAGGTTGCAGTGAGTCAAGATCATGCCACTGCACTCCAGCCTGGGCAACACAGCAAGACTCTATCTAAAAAATTTTTTTAAAAACACGTATTTATTGAGTACTTACTCAAATGTGCAAGGTGGCTTGATAGGCCCTCTGTGCATATGTTAGGAGATGGTGGTACAGACAAAAAAAAAAAATGCTATGTCTGGTTCCCAAACAGTACATGATCCAGTGAGGGAGATAAACATATAATTAATAACTATAACATTAAAGACATCAAAGTAACATCCTTAATCAAGCTGTTACCTGCTTAGAAACTCAAGAGCTGGAGATAAAATCTTGCCTGGAGAAATTGGGGACATAGCATTTGAGGGAGACTGGTTCAGACACAGTGAAAATCCTGTGAGGTGGGTGATACAGTTTGGCTGTGTCCCCTCTCAAATCTCACCTTGAATTGTAATAATTCCCACATGTCAAGGGTAGGGCCAAGTGGACATCACTGAATCATGGGGGTGGTTTCCTCTATACTGTTTTCATGGTAGTGAATAAGTCTCATGAGATCTGATGGTTTTATAAATGGAAGATCCCCTGCAAAAGCTCTCTTGTGTGCCACCACGTAAGACGTGACTTTGAAGGCCTCCCCAGCTATGTGAAAGTGTGAGTCAATTAAACTTCTTTTCTTTATAAATTACCCAGTCTCAAGTATGTTTTTATTAGGAAAATGAGAACGAACTAATACAGTGGGCAAACTGCTTTTGTTGGGGGAAGAAAAAAACCAGATGAGATAGGAAAGATTACTTGGGATAAAGTCATGAGGAGGCCTTGAAAGCCCTCTAAAGACTTTAGACCCTGTCTTGGGGGCAAAGGCATGCTGGGAGCAGTGCTTTGAGAACAGAACTTGTCAAGGAGCTAAGGAGGAAATGTGATGAAGGAGAGGCAGTAACAGTTAAAAGGCCACTTGCTGTAGTCAAGGCAAGGAGTTAACAAGAATCTCACCTATAGCAGTCAAGATAGAAAAGAGGGATCAACTGGATGGAAGAGATATTTTTAAGGTGGAATCACTAGGTCTTGACTGATAGGTTACAGGGGAGATGATTTTGAACCTACTTGCTGAGACTCCATCAAAACCGGAGGTATACCCTCCCTCCACGTTAGCAAATGTTCATTCTGTCCACTTTTAGGAAGGAAAACTTGCCAACCCTCTTTGATAAGTATCCTCAGCAAGAAAGCTGCCTAGCATCTTAGCTAGCTTCCCTCCAGGGTCTTCTATGTATAGAAGTTAGTATCAGCAAAGACCCAGGGGACCTAGGTCTGAGGCTCCTTTGGAAGTTCAATAAAGTTTCCAAAATGAATCTGTCAGAAATGAACCAGCTCTTTCCAACATCTAGGAAACTGCTATATTTCCATGCCAACCCAAAAGTCTAACTTGATTGATCCTTTCTGATTCTTACTAAACCTCCATTAACCTGGAGCACCTGTTAAAAATAGATTCTCAGACCCTACCTCAAGTATACTAAGTCAGACTCTCCAGGGCTGTGACCCAAGAAGTAATATTTAATGGAAGCCTCCCAAGTGATTCTAAAGGAGTACAACGTGGGAACCATTTGTCTCCTGGGTATCCCTTCTGACGCTTTATTTCTGCAATTGATAGTGAGCTCTCTGCACTTCTGAGGAATGAATGACTGCAAGCTCATTTCTTTGTTACTTCATTTGGGTATGCTGTCTCCCAAACTAGATAATAAGGGCACTGAGTATGGAGACTTGTACAGCCTTGATGTGCAGACTTCTAGAAGGACAGGGAGTAGAATTTATCTGCCTGAATAAAAGAATTCCTGCATTGGAAATATGGTCATTGAATAGCCACACTGCTAATTTCCAGTAAAGAAGCAGTGACCTTAGAACAACTGATGGACCTGACAGCAGCCTTGATAAGGCACATAGTTGAATATGAGTAAAACTTACAGACTTGGCTTCTGTACTGTTATCAAGGTAGTCTTCCCTCACAGCTAGGGAGAGTGTCGCTTGGTCCAGCTGTAAAAACAAAAACAGAAAGCATTCTGCTAGCACTGTAAATTCCTGGGCACCATGTTAACAAGAGTGATGAGATCATCTGCATCTCAGCCATATTTTGAACTTATGTCACCATTACAAAAAGAATTCACCACACTCAGAACTACATGCAAATAGGCACTTTGGCAATGACAGATGTAATAAAGTATCAGAGACCTGGCCCTGCTTTTCTAATTTATGTTTTCTAAACGTTTTGAGGTCCTTTCAACACTGAATAGCAACAAGGCTATTTCAGTTAGAATAGATCTTAGAGATTATTAGCTATTCCCACTTATTCAATGGGAGGAGAAACAAAAGCCAGATAACTGATGTGACTTTCCCAAGGTAACATGGTTGGGCAGAGCTCAGACTAAAATCATTGTCTCCTATCACCAGATTGAGTATTTTTCTCATTGCAGTATTTTGCAAAATGCCAATCTAGATAGAGTTGATGAATTAGAATTTCTAACTCCTTATCTCTAAAATAACATATGGCATTGATTTTTTTTATTTTAATGGAATCAAATAATAATTTTGTTTTGAGAAACCTTTGCAAATGTTAGAACCCTCTCTAGAAGGTTTAGGATAACTGACAAAAACACAAATAATAACCAGACAACTAAGTAGAATTATGGTGATAGAAAAGTATAGTATAAATTCTTGAATTAAAATTTTCAGCATCTTACGCCAGGTACGGTGGCTCACACCTGTAATCCCAGCACTTTGGGAGGCCAAGGCGGGCAGATCACTTGAGGTCAGGCATTCAAGACCAGGCTAGCCAACATGGTGAAAACCCATCTCTACTAAAAATACAAAACTTAGCTAGGTGTGATGGTGTGCACCTGTAATCCCAGCTACTCAGGAGGCTGAGACAGGAGAATTGCTTGAACCCAGGAGGTGGAGGCTGCAGTGAGCCGGTGTCACACTCCAGCCTGGGCAACAGAGCAAAACTCTGTCTCAAAAAAATAAATAAATAAATAAATAAAAACTTTCAGCAACTTAAAGGTAAACAAAAGAAAGCAGACAGTCTTTCCAAAGAGCGTGTTAGAAAATCTGGACATCCAGGCCAGGTACGGTGGCTCCTGCCTGTAATCCCAGCACTTTGGGAGACCAAGGCAGGTAGATCACTTGAGGTCAGGAGTTCAGGACCGGCCTGGCCAACATGGTGAAACCCTATCTCTACTAAAAATACAAAAATGAGCCAGGTGTGGTGTCACGTACCTGTAATTCTAGCTACTTGAGAGGCTGAGGCAGGAGAATTGCTCGAACCCAGGAGGCAAAGGTTGCAGTGAGCTGAGATGGTGCCACTGCACTCTAGCCTGGGTGACAGAGTGTGACTCTGTCTCAAAGAAAGAAAAGAAAAACTGGGCATCCATAAGCAAAAACAAAATAAGCCTTTACTCATACCTCACACCTTATTCAAAAATTAACTGAAAATGAATCATAGTCCTAAATGTAAAACCTAAAACTATAAAATTTCTACAAGAAAATACTGGGAAAAACTTCTCTTACTTGGGATCAGACTAAGAGTTTTTAGACATGACAATAAAATCACAATCCTTAAAGAAAAAAATAAATCAGACTTTATCAACATTGAAAAAAATTGCTCTTCAAAGAAACAGAATAAGAAGACAAGCCACAGAATGGGGAAAATATCTGAAAATCACATATATGATAAAAGACATGTATCTAGAATACGTAAAGATTCCTCAAAACTCAACCATGAGAAAACAACTCAATTTAAAATTGAGCAAACAATTCTAACAGACACTTCATCAAATGATATATGAAGAGAGAAATAAGCACATGAAAATATGCCCAACATCATTAGTCATTAGGAAAATGTAAATTAAACCAGCAATAAAACACTACTATAGATCTGTTAAAATGGAAAAAAAAAAAATCTGACGACTGCCAGTGGAGATGTGGAAAAGGAATGCAAAATCGCACAGCCACTTTGGAAGGGAACCAATTTTACACTTTCTTATCAAGTTAAACATACATTTACATAAGAGCCAGAAACCCTACTTCTAGGTATTTACCCAGGAAAAAATGTTAAAAGTCACACAAAAACCTGTATGTAATTTTATTCATAATCACCCAAAACTGAAAACAACCCAAATGTCCTCTATGAATGAAAGCATAAACTATGGTATACAATGGAATACTACTCAACAATAAAAGGCAACAAACTGATACAACACGGGTAAATTTTACTTACATCCTGAAAAAATACTTTACAGGAACAGAGAACAAAGTGATGGCTGACAGGGTTTGGGCATGAGAAGGCTTGACTTGGCAAAGCGATAACATGAGGCATCTGGGGGTGAGTGATGAGACTACTCTATTTCTTGATTACAGTGATGATTACATGACTATGCATTTGTCAAAACTCAGACATGTACATCACAAAAAAATAAATTTATGTAAATTTTAAGATACTTAAAAAAAATTTCCCCAGAACTTAAATACATTTTTTTTTTAATTTCCAGCACCTTCGCTAAATTTATGGTTTCCTCTTTCCTGAATATCAGTAACTGACTAAAGACTAAATAAAATGGATCTCAAGAGCACTAGATTTTTCCAAATTAAAGCTCTAATTCACACATTAAACATTAAGCCAAAATAATAAGACACAAAATCTAAATAACAAATTAAAAATTAGTAACATCTGAATAAAAACTGAACCCTACATGCCCATACCATTAGTGTATATGACTTTAAATTGTTTTGATCCATCTCCTCCAGTTTCTTTTTCACCTTACCATAATCTTAATTTATTCTAAAATACATTAATTCATATACAATTATAGTTTTCCATGAAACTCCCCTTAATATACAACAAATTTTTCAAAGGCCACATTAAGAGTTAGTGATATTATGAAAAATTCCAGGAAAAACCTAGCTCATTTCAGGGGGGAAAAAGGCACTTTCAAAATATCCATCTTGTCTGTGTATACTGCTAAAATCCTCAAATCACTTTGTTCAAACTTCCCTAATTGGCCTGAAACAATGAAGTCACAAGCCTTCCTGGTTTCGCCCTACTGCAATTCCCAATCTGCCCGTTTCTTCCAAAAATTAAGCAAGCCACAATCATGAAACACAATATTATGATTAAGACACTTTGGCTTTCAATTAAATTTGGACCACTTGAAGAATCTTTTGAGCTCGAGTCTCATAGGAAAGTAAACTGTGTGGACATTATCAAGAAAGCCAAAGTTTCCCTCTCATGAAATAAAGTTAAAGCCACTTATTGTAAAAGTTTAAATAATTCAAGTGAGGTTACCAGACCTTTTATAAACTTTCAGATTGTTATGGTTTCTAGGGAACATTTTAAACACACCAACCAACAAACTGAATAAGGTCAGTCAAATAAATCTCATTAGAAACATACAAACTCTTGAGGCAAAAAGACTTTCTCATGAAGCCATCAGGACACTGTGTCACTTGAGATTTTTTAAATCCTTACATTTACAACTGATCTGAATATTGTAAGTAGAAAATAAAATATGTTCTTAGGAAATCCAATACATTTAACTGAAAATATAAATTTTTTCTCCATTTGCAACTGGCATTCCAATTATAATAAACCTCAAGTTAGAAGACAAAGTAGTAATACAAAAAGAAACATCTTACAAATTATGAGGTAGGAAATGGAGTCTGGACTTCAGATTTCAAAATGGTGACGTAGACACAAGCTGGCTTCCCTCCCCTCTCCAATATATATATGAGAAACTAAAAACACATACACAGCAGTAAGCTTCTCATCAGCAATAACCCAGAATTCAAATATAAGGATGATTTCACTTCTCTGAGGCCACAGAGAAGTGAAAAAACTCCAAGCAGATATAAGAGAATCAAATTCTCTATGATGCCCTTCTAACTAATCTGTCCAGCAGCAAGCATGCAGAAATTTTCCCTGACTCATAGTTTCTACACTGGAAAAGTGAGATCAAGGTGGACAACCAGCTTTCCCACCATCTTGGGTTCTTTGACAGAAGACCTGCCCATGCCTTAACCCACAGAAGGGATCATGAGTACCTGAAGGGAGGTATATTCCTGAAGACAGCAAGAGACGAAGGGAGGTGGGACTACCATACTCAGTCCTGGAAACTCTGCTCCATAACTTGGCCATAGGAGACACCAAGTCAGAGTGGCTGTTCAGCAGCATTATGCTATAGGAGGTTCATTCCGCAGGTCCCCTATATGCTAACCCCTAGCCAGTTTTTCCACACTGCCAGGGTATCCTCTTTGGGACCTCCCCTATATCTGGACTGGGACTGCTCTGACATTTGGCTAGAGTCAAAGCAAACGTAGGCTTAAGATACCATTTAGTAACAGAAAAAAAGGCAAGGACCTCATGAAGAAATAGCAATATATCACCTATCGCAATTATAAATATCTATGCATCCAACACTGGAGCACGTAAGTATATAAAGCAAACATCAATAGATCTAAAGGGAGAGGGAGACTGCAGCACAATAATGACAGGGAACTTCAACACTCCACTCTCAGTAATGGACAGATCATCTAGACAATCAACAAAGAAACCTCAGAGTTCAACTAGTCACTAAGACAAATAGGCCTAACTGACATTTACAGAACATTTCACCCAATTGCTGAATACATATTCTTCTTATTGCCACATGGAACATTCTCCAGAATAGATCATATTTTAAGCCACAAAATAAGTTTCCACAAATTCAAAGAAGTAGAAATCATGTCAGTTATCTTTTCTGACCACAATGAAACCAGAAATCAATAATAAGAGGAACTTGGAAAATACACAAACACATGGAACATTTTTTTTTTAAGATAAGAGTCCCACTTTGTTGCCCAGGCTGGAGAGCAGTGGCATGATCTCAGCTCACTGCAACCTCCACCTCCCAAGATCAAGCAATTCTCCCACCTCAGCCTCCCAAGTAGCTGGGATTACAGGTACCCACCACCATGCCAGGCTAATTTTTATATTTGTAGTAGAC